TATGTTCATAAAAATATTAAAAATAAAAAAGCAGATCTATATACCTGGTGATACAAAAATACTGTTAAAATAATAATTAATGAAGCAGCTATAATAATAAACTGGGCAGATTTAATGTAAAGTTAAAAGAATGTCTGATCATCATCTTCAGTAACATGCTTTGCTTTAACTCTCATGACAGAACCAGCACAATATTGACCACAGACATCTATTTTACCATTATCAACCCTAACCTAACAAAATAGTATGTATGGAATAGAACCTCTTAACAGAAATTCAAATTAAGCTGACTCTCTCAGTACATCAATAAATCACTCCATGGTAAAGGACTGCATGTACTATAGCTATTATACTGCATGAACGATGTAACTTACTCTTATACAATAATCGATTTCTCCTTTCTTTATATAGTACAAAGGAGTGAAGGTAGTGAAGTTAGTCTTGAGCTTCTGTTCAGCCTCTTTCTTCATCTTTTCAGCAATGTTTAAAACTTCAGGAGTAACAGTCATTGGATCAAGACCCTCTTCTGGTGCATCAGGAAGAGAGTTTAGTGCACAGCCTGTCTCCGCTATGCCCCCACTATAGCGTTTTAACAACCAAAGTGCTGGCACAAAGAATGTAAAAAAGAAAGGTCACAATATATTAAATGATTGCCGGATTTTATGCACATTATATGTTGGGGCCTATTACACTTGAATGCAACAAATAATTCCTGTCAAGCTTTAATTGGTTCATCAGCTGTGAATTCTATTATTGAACTCTAGGATAGCTAATGATGGCCTGGCATAAATACTACAAGGGTGAGCCTTTGTTGCAACTGACACAGGGTATGATACCATATAGTGGGAAATTTTTGTGGCCCAAAATTTGTGTGGATTTTGTGTTTTTTTTTAAATTCAAGAAAATAAAATCCACGAAAATCAATTTAATACATTTCAAGATGGCTAAAAAGTAGAAACCACATAAAGCCACAAAATTAATATTTAGACAAATCCATGAAAATTTCTCATTATACAGTAGCAGAGATACACTGGTGGATAAGCACTATATTTGTAAAAATGCAAGTGACATTGGACTTGTGACATTGACATTTTTTACTTTTTTGGGGCCCACTATGTAACTACACAAATCAAATTTCCTGTCATTTCAGGTTCAGTTCAGTTCAAGGTTCAGTACAAGGTTCAGTATAGCAGATAGGTATTCATTATCACTGGTGGATAAAATAACTTATCATAAAGTAAACCTATTAGCTATATACTGTACATGTAAAACGTTTGTGACCAATGTAGTGACATTGGATTGGTGAAATGACATTTTTCAGGTAAGGAACATTTTATTAAATTAACTTACACTCTTCTTTTAACTTTTCAGCTGCAGCATTCTCATTCATAGATTTAAGAGCATCTAGCAGTGAGCCAAAAGTAGCTCCTCCTTTACTGTCAACATCATCAGCTCTGGACAACCACTCGAAGAGGCATTCAGTTAAACAATCATCTGTTGTGTCATAGACTTTTTTAATGTCGTCGAGTGTGTCCTTGTGTAATCCTAGTGTCAGTCCAAGCTCGTGCCATCTCTCTTGAGGGAAACCTCATACTTCCAAAAGACAAACAACATTTGACACTTCATCTATTCATACAAAATAAAACGTATTGTATAAATAGTGAATGAATATTACTGACCAGGTGTCCACTGATAAGAGTAGAGAGGATTTTTAGGTGCCATAGCAGATTAGCCTAACTATAGAAGAAAGGATGTCAGTTGAGAAGATACCAGTTGGTTGTAATGCAAATAAAAAGGGAGGGGCTCAGTTTAGGGAGTCATATTTAACCCTCAATATGGCAGCTTTGGATCAATTCCTGATGCATGTAATGTTCTTTAATTTCTATTTTGTGTATTTATTTACTAACCAGGTTGATAGGTCTATTAAAGAATGTGATGGTGAACTATTATCAGTTAGTAGTATATTTATACTTTATTGTTCTCATCTCTCTCTTCCTATCCTTTCTTTCATTTTCTCTCTCGTAGGAGCTTGTAGCTTTAAAAGACTCTCATGTATTTAATGTAAGTAATGTAATACATGTTTATTAATGTATTATTAATTAATTGAGTAATAGGGAGATGCTGAGTCAGCATGTCAGGTTATTTTAGACTCTCCTTATGATGAAATGTTAGCAGCTCACATAAGGTATAATTAATTAATTAATATTTATTATTATTATTATTAATTAGGTGTGTTCATTCATTAGCTAATGGACATTTTGATGAAGCATTTGCTTGTCAAACATTAGTAGTACAGTATCCATCATAAAGTACATATAATGTACATGTAACTGTATCTCAAATGATAGTTATATACATGTATGGGTACATGTAATTGTACATGTATTGCAGTACATAGTGTACTGTGTGTATTACATGGAAATTGCTATGTTTGTTTAAAATGATTTGTTTTTTTCCTTAATTTTTGTAAGATCATTTTGTAAAGGATTCCAGGCACAGAAAGAAGAAAATTGGTACATTTTTACTATTAATGTTGTTGTTATTATTATTATTATTATTTATTATTATTATTATTATTATTATTATTATTATTATTATTATTATTATTATTATTATTATTATTATTATTATTATTTAGGGGTCTGCCAGTTCTTCAACAAGTTGTTCTTGATTTAAGAAGAATCGCTTTAAAAGTAAAAACACAATAGTAATAACTCTAACCTCATACATTAATTGGTAGGCGGAGTCTGTTGCTAAGGAGCGAGTTGGTGTTGTCAAGGGAAAGAAAGAAGGTGAGATATTGGAAAGAGCTGCCGAACAAATCATGAGCTGTTTTCGTGTCTGTGTCTCTGACAGGTAACAATTATTAATTAATTTATTTATTTATTTGTTTATTTATTTATTTATTTGTTTATTAATAGTCGTACTTCACTTGATAATACTAAGAGATGGGGTACTCTTGGAATCGTTAATCAATTATTTAAAATTTATTTTAAGGTCAGTCCTCACGTCGTTACTATTTTTAGACTCCACCGTTACTATTAATAGCTCAATAAGCTCCCATTGTGTAAGCCTCTTATAAGAGCAATAGATAGTTCTGATATCAGAGATGAGTTCAGTATCAGTCACAGGGTAACATACAAGTAAGTGGATAAGAGAGAAGTTAAAGTCTTACCGTAGGGTGCTCTTTTTTTAAGGGCTGTATATTACGTGAATTTAATTAATTTTTCCTGAAAATGCGAATATTTTGACCTTGGACAATTGATTATAATTACAAGGGGGCGTGTCGAAAAATTCTTCATGTTACATGTGGGCACTTTTAAAGTAAAGATGGAGTTTTAGGACTCATTTTAAAACTATTTTCAAAGAATAGACTTGATGTTTTTTTGTTTTTTTTAACTCTGCTGGTCCTTTGTCAAATCATGTAGCTCAGGGACCAGTTGTATTTATTAGTTAACAAGGATGACAGGAAGTCATGATGTGTAATATTTACTTAAAGGGAACTCAAAATTTATAGCCCTCGAAAAAAGAGAGCCCTGCAGTATTATGAATTTATGTATTATTTTTTAGATATTTTGTTGGGAGGAAGGCAATGTTTGATAGTGAATATAGAGCAGGTAAGTACTGTATATAGTAATGGAGTCATTGATTAATATTCATTGTGTATTTGAAAAAGTTGGTGGCACAAAAATGTAGTCATTTTTTATTTAGGCCACGTTTACACAGCAACGAAAACGATGCAATCCGTATAGTTTTGTGCCTGTTTTATGCTTCTGTTTACACAGAAAGGAATGAAAACGTGATAGAATCTTGATAGAACTCTATGGAAACGAAAACGGTGTTCAAAATGGATACTTTAAAAACGATGCGTTTTGCGTTGCTGTGTAAATGTAGCCTAAGAAACAGATTTAGTATTAGCAATGATTAGATTTGGTGTTTGCTGACTCTAATTGTCCAGTTATTTTAATGTCCTCTAAGCCTTCCATACACTAGGCAACATGTAACTAACAACATTTATGGTTACTTTGAACTTGTAATCAAGGTGTTGGTAAAAATAGAAATGAGTTCTATTTTTAGTAACAAGCTGCTCAAAAGATCAAACTAACTACAAATGATCTACTCTTGGTAGCAGTAATATCTC